ATTTTCACATATTCTTGGCATACCTGAAAGTTTCTCCTAAAATGATGTCAAAAGCACAACAGAGACTCTCTCTGGCTGGTAAAGAGGAGTGCTCTCGTGTGGTAATTATTCAGGACGTGCTGCGAAATGTCACCTGAGCTGCTGTCACTCCTGCAGGTGCTAAACCCAGGGTATTAATCTAAATCAGTCAGGAGGTGAGGCGGAGCCTGACGCTGAAGCATGCTAACTCAGCAGTCAGCTGCAAAACTAACGGGAGCCTACTGGACACTGGCCACCCTTCCTTAAACAATAACGTTTCAAGAACGGTTCCAAGGGAGGTGTTGACGCAGTGAGATCCTCCTGTTCGTTGGATCATCCCATAAAAAAATCAGAGCCCCTGCCAGCCTGATGTGCTTGGCCGAAGTTTCAGAGCTTCGAGGTGGAAAGAAACAAACAAAAGACTAGAAAAACCTCAAACAAAATAAGCAATATGTCTCTCGGCCCACCAGATAAACTAACTGTTCTTCTCAGTCTCCAGGGGCAAGAAGTGGCAATCCACGGTGCAATTGCGTTTTATTAAAGAGCTTGTATTTCAACCCTGGATTTCTTCAAGGAAAGAAGAAAACAAAACAGAAGTATGATCGGATTTGCCTATGTTGGGTGGAAAGGAGGAGAAACAGTGTCCAGAAGATCCTGACGACCTACGATCATCACACTGCTGCCCAGGAGAGATGAACAACCCTGGCTATATGTGCCTGTCCCCCAGACTAAAAAAAAAAAAAAAAAAAAAAAAAAAAGAAGGTTCCAGCAATTAGGAGAATTCATACATTAATGCATATCCAAATGGTTTTCCTCTGGTGATGTAAGAACACCGTCTCTTCCCTAGCTCTGTGGAAGTATGGAATATGATAACTGATGGAGGTGATAGACTAACCTGATGAAATACTTTCTAGACATCTACAAGGTTTGGAAGTAAGAAGATCTGAGTGTGAATAAATCTACCACTTACTAGTCTAATGCCTTCGGACCAGTCACCCAGGTGCCCAAGCCTCCCTTGAAGATGAGAATGGTAATATTCCCTACTTTGTACGATAAGTGAATGGCATGACCATATGAATGAGACACTGCATGTAAAACGCTTCGTATAGTGACCTTCATGTAGTAACCTGCTCCATAAATATTAGTGATTACTCTTCGTGGCCGGTATGCCGGATGGAACAGAATTTTTCAACTGGATAACTGGACCAGATACCTATTTGCTGTGGGAGATTGTTCTGTGTATGTTTAGTAGCACCTCTGGCCTCTCTACCCATTAGATGCCAATGGTATCCCTGACCAACTGTGACAATCAAAAATGTCTCCAGACATTGCCAAATGCCCCCTGGGAACAAACGCACCCTTCGTTGAGAACCACGGTTCTGCATCTCAGCACCATGATGCGTGATATTGCTAATTACAGTCAAATAACTGCTTTACCCTATTTGCTTTGAGCAGCTATTAAATGCTATGTTGGACACATTTGTTAGGGTTCCTTTTTTCTTTTTAAACCTTATACCCATTCCCCTTTGGATGGCATGAGTGCACCCTTCCTGCTTTGGGAGAAACACCCATTCTATTGGTACCCTGTGTGCCTTGTGTAATAAAGTTCTCAGTATAGTACCTGACACACAGTGAATGTAACGGTCAATATATGGTAGGAATTTCTCTCTCTTCTATTTGACTGATGGTGTGAGAGGATCCCAAAGCATCTAGAAGCCACCATGTGAAGCCAGAGCAAAGCCACCCTAGAAGCAACAGGACTGAGAGATGAAACCTAGGGTCATGTACACTCTGAATCAAGTCAAGCCTGAAGCCATCCCTACCTCCTGGACTTGTGGTTATGTGAGCCAATGAATTTCTTCCCTGTTGTTTCAGTTTGGTTGATACAACTGCCTACTATGTGCCAAGCATTATGCCAGGCATTCACACATACACCTTACTTAATCTTCATGGCAATCTTGTGACGTATGTCATATACTGCACCCATTTCACAGGCAGCCAATGGAGCTCAGAGAGTTAGGTCATTTACTCAAGGCCCACAGCCAGTAGGTGGTACAGCTGTAATTTCATTTCATTCCCTCCAATTTCTAGTTCAGTCTGTTACACATGCCCTGGTGTCAGTCTTGGTGGGGTCAAGGGGGGGCCTTTGAGCAGAAGTAACACCCCATCCCAACTCTAACAGAAGCTGAAAGTGAGCAGAACTTTGCCCAAAGTCTTTGGGGGAGATTCTTTGTGTTCTGGAAGGCGATACTGCAACGTCTTTGCAGATGCATGTTGGATACGTGAAAACTATCTGCCTGGAGACACTTAACTCCTCTTCATTTATCGATAGGAGACAGGGAGAAAATCATATTAGTTAACAGGAAACTGCTTTGTTTTGAACACATCCAAAAATAGCCAAGGAAAAAATTATCTTCACTAATAAAGCAAGGCAGATATGAAACCTTCATGCTTGGGGGAACACAAATGATCTTATTATCCTGAGCATCTTGATGGTAACCATAAAAATTCATCTTTATTTGAGTTTCAGGCAAAATATAAACTAGGAACATTACCTTGTGTTTAACACTGTCTGTATCCTGCAAACCCAAGCCCTGCTCCAAAAGTCGTCACAATAAAACATCAAAGACACTGCCGAGGAGAAGCGGCGCTATTCTAGGTCATCCGTGTGCGTTACTGCTGTTCCCCACAACAGTCCTGCAAGGAAGTTATGACTTGGACAAACATACAAGGGAAGCGAACCCCTCTGTCCAAGGTCAACAGCTAATAAAGAATAGAGACGAGGGCCCAGGGTGTCCCTCTGACTGCTTCTTCCACCACCCCGTGCTGTTTGACAAATGAGCAAGACCCTAAGAACACATTCCCAATAGTCTCCCTTCTGTGACTCACTGCAAGTTAGCATCAGCCCCACAAAGCACGACCGCTGAGTAAGAACACGATTCAAAAGCAGCTGAGTGTTCTGAGTCCCTGCAATCCTTGAGGCACAGCACGGTGTGGTATGGGTTGTAGGTGTTCTCATCATCATCTAATGGCTTCGACGAGATACCCTGAAGGTCAGACCCTAAAGAGACTAAAGTCATAGAACAAAATGCTTTCGTTTTACAAGTTAGCACTTTTATGCTTTTGGGTCAAAGGCCATTGGAATATTTCTGAAATTTACGTCTCCAATATATCTGTAATTTCCATCCGCCATTTCTTTTATCTGAGCTACTTTGGTATCTCCCCATATATCCACTTGCCACCTCTATCTCACTGCCTATAAAATATGAACACCATTCTCTCTCTCTCTCTCTCTCTCTCTCTCTCTCTCTCTCTCGTACACACACACACACACACACACACACACACACACACACACCTGCTTAAAAAATCTCTATGGTTTCTTATTACACTTAGGAGAAATATCAGTCTTTAAAATAATGTCCTAGATCCTTAGCAATTCTACTAGATTAATATGAATAAGTTGAACTTTTGCAACATATGAGTAATATGAAAACTTGAAAGACCGAGATAATTTCAAAAAAAGTTTAATATTCATCATGAGATACTATAAAAGTTTACTAAGGTTTTAGCTTTCAGAGATTATGACAGAAAGCCATACTCTTCCTATTACAATTCCCATAAATTCAAGGAACTGAAAAATTTTCATGCTTGAATAAGTGCTACCTGAAATAGGCCCAAGACACCCTACTGTCCATTGATATGAAATACAAGTGGGAGATGATATGAGGCATACAATCAATAGAAAAGCCTACTTCTATTGTAAAACATTTTTCGTACATAGATTTCACTGGTTATGGTTAATACATAAATAATTCTGGAGACCCAAACAGGAAAATATAGCCACTTTCCCCAACAAATTCTGATTTTTCTACAGAGATTTTCCAATAAGGATAATAAATAAGTAATTCTGACAAAAGAACATTGCTCTGAAGATTACAGTTTTATTTTCTACTGTGAAGACCTTTGCCATCTCTGGGAGATTCAGAGACTCATTTATAGCATTTCAATTTCCAGGTACTTAAAAAGCAAATTTTAAATAATTGGGATTTGCTTATAACGGAATGAGCAGATTAAGTTGAGCAGAGCATTGCTGTCATATGTTCACACAAGTTAGGGTCTTATGTGTTTGCAACTTCTGTTTTTACTCTTGTATCAAGTATTGTATTCCTATTGGGAAGAACCATCCACTTTTACAAACAAACAAACAAAAATTTTTAAAACCACAAGCTGATTGCCTTCAACTTTAATGTGAATTTTACAGAAGGACTTGTATCTTGAAATTTAGTCATTTAAAATTCCAAGATATAAAATTTATCTGCAATGTCTCAAAAGAAGAGCCTAAATTCTGAGGGAGCAAGAATGGTGAGGGGGTGGGGAGAAGAATGAGATCCTGATTAGACTAAAATCTCTTTCTGGTTAATGATCGACCCAAATTTTTTGGCACCATTGGCACTATCTTCTCTTTCCAAAATTGACTTCTAAAAGGAAAAAGGGAAAGGCCTAGAAGTGCTTATTGGGTATGGACTGCAATAAGCCAGTTCTAGAATCAACCTCCTAGCGTTAGTGCGGTTCATCACACCACGGATGGAACCCAATCAATGGCACCTTCAGAAATGAATGGTGCCTCATATTGATAATCTACCATAGTCAGCCAAGGAGAAAACATAAACAGATTAACACTATGGATGTTTCCCAAAACCCAAGAAGCTGGCCTGTGTTCAGCATGACCCAGTAGATGGTACCTTTCTGGCATTTTCACCTAATTCTACGTCAGTTTGTGGTATGGAATCAAACTACATCACATTGCTGAGAACTCTCCATGGGAAATAAAGCCATATGGAATATCTGACTACTTTACAATACGCCTGGCATTACAGGGCTGGAGCTCTACGCATTTGTAGAAGAGCACTTCAGGGTGGATCTCATAGGCCAACCTGGGAAAAGGAAAAAATAAGTAGGAGAACAGTCATGAAACTCACCTCCCTGCCTCAAAAGTGAACCAAGCAGCATCTCGCCCGTACCGCCGCAGGGCACTTAGCGGCCAAGAGATGAGTTTGACTCTGGGATTCTGGACGTCCCAAAGACAGATGTGCTCATATGTAATCTGCAAGGCACATTCGCCATGTACATCTAAGTTAGGGGATGGCATCAAATACACATTGAATCTCTCTGGGAGAAAAACAAAAGGTTAGTCTAAAATCCCGGGAATGAAACATCAAAGACAACGTAGGAACAAAGAGGCATTTCAAAATAATGCTAGCTCACATTCTAGGTGCAGGTTGAATATTCAGGAAGATAAACCTTTCTCATGAATTCACAGCGCCAGAAAATGATTTTTTTAAATTAAGACCGTATTAAATAACATGATAATGACACAGTCTGGCGGTCAACATACACTGAACACTATTTGCATGAGCAAAGACCATGTTTAGAATTTTTTAATTTGCATAATAAAAAAACGTGTATGCCAGTAGGAGACGAGAGCAATGGAACCATTAAAAACGTTTTTTTTTCCTGCCAAGTACACATTAATTCCACCCACACTTTGGTGTTCACAAAAGATGCAGGTGCAAATAACTGTCGCATGATTTAATGATATTAAAGTTACACTGGTCAACATATAATTTGCATAACCAAATGAGTAAAACTATATCCCAAATCATTTAAATAAAACTCCATGCTAATACCGTGCACTTAACTGACCCAGCAGTCTGTGAAAAATCCAATAGATATATTTGAACTCGTTTTAGCAAGAACTCTACAAATTTCCATTTGCTTGTTTGGATGACTGTTAAAATTTAACCAAGATGACTCTACATAAACGACTTGGTTTACGACTGCAACCACATTTTCATCCCCACAGATTCAGTCATGGCATTTCTGTTCTACTTCTATAAAATTCATTAATTTAGGACGTTACAGAGTCAAAAATCTTTGAGTGAAATATGAACACAAATATTACTGGAGTGAACATTTTCACCCATCCATCATTAAGGCAGATTGCCTAAATCTGACAAGATAGTGCGGCACTAATCATTATCAGTGGTATTTTAAATTAATCATTTTATAATAAGGAAGTCACTAGAATTCTTATAGATTTTAGTTGAGTTTAGTAAATAGGAGTGTCATGACTGCTTTCATGGGTCTATTTTTCAAATTTTCTGTTATTTCCAACTCCCAATCACCAATTATTTGCTGCTTTCTAGCAACTATTATTTTAAAAGTATATTCTAATGGAGTAAAATGTCTCCCTGGGGAGTTCTGCAGCAAGTCAGAAAGAGTTCATCCTTAAGTAAAAAAGTAAGAGAGACCATTACCAATTTGTTCACTTGAAGTTCTATAACTTTACTTCACTTGAGCATAACAGCAAGTGTAAGAGTGACTGCTTTAGTTATAATTACTTGAAGTCATGCAAATTAATATCATAAAGTGCCTTCAAAGAGGTAGCTGAGTTTTGTAGTAATCCCTAGTAGTTATGTACCAGGGGTATTCTTATTCCTATTTGACAGAAGAGGAAACTGAGGCCTGGTTGTGGTATAATAAAGGCAATTCCTAGGCACAGCCCATCCTTGGACTCTGTAGCGTTATCAGGATAGAGCTTCACAAATATAAATTTGTGAAAAAAAAGTGCTGAGCGGAGCACTCTAGATTAAAAAAAGAAATCAAATCCTGTCCTATCTTCCTCTTTAGGTCTGGCTTCACATGCAAATATCTGTGAGGCATCCGCTCAGGTCCATACAGGTGCATCCTCAGGCTACAACAGAACAGGATTCTGGGATCCAATCTGCCCTGTCACAAGGCTCGGTCACCTGGAATTAAGAAATCATTCCTCACCTCCAGGCTCATACTGTAAACCAACAGTGAGTTTTGCTGAAATGATCATGGGTATTCTGGTCATTATTACCTCAAATGATTTATTCCCAGGTTGAGTGTTGAGCTCAAGGAGTTGGCTCAAGTGTTTTAGTGGGGAAAAAAAAAAAAAAATCACAGAATTAGGAGGGTTTAAAGATGATGAAACATTCGTGATGTCCGGATTCTATTAAAAATGTTGGAAAACTTTCAATGAAATACTTTCAGTGAAAAATGCAAGACCAAAAAGAACAAAACAAAACACTATGCCTTAAAATCAGCATATTATGAATACAGGCTCAGGAGTGTGGTCTTGTATCAAACACCAGCTGTTGGAGTTGGAACAAAAGCTTCAGTTTCCTCATCTGTAAAACAGGGGGACGGAACAGTGCCCCCGTCACGGAGCTGCTGGGAAAATTAAATGACCTAATGCATCTGCCACAGAAACTGGTGCATAGCAGGTCCCCCCCGCCCTGATTTCTAGCTGATGTTATTAATGCAGATACATTCATATTTATGCATCGAAAACATATTAGGAAAAGAAATACACTGAAATATGAACACAGGATTTAGGTGCAATAAAAGGTTCTTTTTCCTTCTTTCTGTATACTTTTCTTATAACTTCAAAAATCTGATATAACGAAGATGTCTTACGGTGTACTGGATGGGGATAAAAACAATGTCAAATAGAGCGAAGGAGAGAATTTTCTTTACATACCACTCTGTTCTCTCTCAACCCCAGTAGCCAGTAAGTCAGGCTCTCCGAGGCTGATGTCATTGATCCGTGCGCCCACACACTCCATCTGGAGCAGTTTGCACCATTCATCGGCCTCCAGATCTGTGGGAATGTCCAGAAACATCACCATGCATGCCCAGCACCCACTTAAAAGCTACAGGCAAAAGCCCTCCCCGCCTCGGACGAACCTGATTCACAAGCAAAGGTCTTGGAGGTGTCGTCATTGAAATAGATTCCTATGGCATGCTTCTTGGTGCTCTTTGGCAACCGGGCTACGTTCTTCACATTGTTGAGCTCTGTCACCTGAAAAACGGACAACTGCAAGTCTGATCACACTCCCTGTGTGAACGTGCCCGGTCCACACCACCACACTCGGGAGAGGCACGTTCAGTGGAAGGCACGCCACAGATGAACACCCCTCGACAGAAAGGTGCGTTTTGGAAAGTTGCGGACTATTTCGGTGTGTTATCCTCAATATGCAGCAAGAAAAATTAACGAATGACCTTCCTTTTTCAATTTCCTGAATATTAAGTGGCACGGACTCAAAACTTCACAGAGGGAGAATTATCTCCCCAAAGAGTCTACCTAATCAACAGTTCTCAGGTCTGTATCCCATCACTGGGAAGGCCTTTCCAATACTCCAACCCCTCGAGGTACTTCCCCTGAAGGCAACTTACACGTACTGACCGCAAGGGAGGGAGGGAGTGGTGACCCAATTCATAACTCAGTCACCTCACTCTTTGATAATCAGAAATGGAGTGTCAGAAGTCCCCCAAATGCCCCTCTACTCGGGCTTCAAGTCATATATTCCAAGACAGACAGTGGTTTTGTACCACACTTCCCTACTCTCTCTGACTTACTCCTAGCTTCTCAATGCATATAGGGCCTCTGTTTCGATTCTTCGTGGTATCACCTTTTTCCTATCAGTAGAGAAGGTTTTTCTCCATCAGACATTCTCTCTTTCCTTCTTCTCTCCCACAGTCTTGGTCCCTTTTATAAACTTTCATAAAATTAACACTTATAAACCACTACCCTCTCCCTCCCCTCCCCCGCACTAAGGGTATTGGCTTATTGTGTTTCCAAAATGGCTGCCTCTCCTCCAGTTCCATCCAGAAGATCTGCTGCATTGGGGCGGTGATGACTGGCTCCTGCAGGAGAGAAGGCTTAGGTGGCTTCAGGGTCTTTACAAGATAAATAACTCTTTCGGACAAGTCTAACTTCCCCTTAGGATATCTCTTTTGTGTTATCTAAAAGAATGTATCTCCCATCAATCTCTGCCTAGATAACCATCTCTTATCTATTATTCTAAATTCAAGGAGTGCCTAGCTCAAGAAGTAGGGGAGGTAAAAAGTCAATATCCTCCACACATAAAGTAACCTGATTATTTCATTCCCCTACTTCTTAACCTCCATTGGCTCTCTTTATAGTATAAATGCAAATTTCTTAGCATAAAATATCATCATAGTTGCTATAGACCCAATATCTGTGGCCTCCCAAATGTATATGTTGAAATCCTACCCCTCAAGGTGATGGTATTAAGAAGTAGGGCCTTTGGAGGCTGATAGGTCTTGAGGGTGGAGCCCTACTGAACAGGATTAGTGCCCTCATAAAAGAGACCCCAGAGAGCCCCCTCATCCGTTTCACCACGTAAGGACACAGAAAGAAGATGCCTTCTATGAACCAGATAGCACGTTCTCACCAGCCCCCGAATCTGCCAGTGCCTTGACCTTGGACTTCCCAGACTCCAGAATTGTGAGAATTAAATTTCTGTGGTTTATAAGCTACCAGTCTATGGTATTCTTTTTTCATGGCAGCCCATATGCACTAACACATCAGTGTTCCCTCAAAGCCGGCCAAAGTACTCTCTACCTTAGCAGGTAGTTTCAGTAACTCAACATTACCAACTTTATTCTCCAGCTACTCCACATCCCTCGGAGTCTACCAGATGCATCTGTTTACTTTTTGTTTTAAATTTTTTTTAACTTTATATTTATTTTGAGAGAGAGACAGAGGCAGAGAGGGGCAGAGAGAGAGGGAGAGAGAATCCAAGCAGGCTCCACACTGTCAGCACAGAGCCTGGTGCAGGGCTCAAGCTCACGAACTGTGACAGCATGACCCGAGTTGAAATCAAGAGTCGGCCTCTTAACTGACTGAGCCATCCAGGCCCCCTGTTTATTTTTTGTTTGTGTATTTTTGTGCCAGTGCCCCAGTACAAACACTATCGTCTTGCCACACCTACTTATTGGTCTCTCCACGTCCATGGTAACCCCATTTATTCACTGTTAACACAGCATCCAAATTATTTTTTCCTTTTTTTTTTTTTTTTAATTTTTTTTTTCAACGTTTTTATTTATTTTTGGGACAGAGAGAGACAGAGCGTGAACGGGGGAGGGGCAGAGAGAGAGGGAGACACAGAATCGGAAACAGGCTCCAGGCTCCGAGCCATCCACCCAGAGCCTGACGCGGGGCTCGAACTCACGGACCGCGAGATCGTGACCTGGCTGAAGTCGGACGCTTAACCGACTGCGCCACCCAGGCGCCCCCCCAAATTATCTTTTCAAACACAAGCCTGATTCCAGCATTTTCGTGCATAAAACAGAACACTTCAGTGACTTCCCACTGCACTTGGGACAAGCAGCCAAGTCCTTGGAGTGACCCTCAAGCCCCTCTGTGGTCTTCCCTGGAGCTGTCTGACCAGCCTCCTCTCTGATACCTTCCCCTTAAGTCCCAGCCATACTGGCTTTTAGTTCAGGCTCCAGAAAGCACCATGATTCTCCTGGCACAGAGCCTTCCCCACTCTCTCCTTACTTCACTTGAACCCACCTTATGGGTCTTAGTTTAAATCTTGGTCACCTGCAGGGCCCTACTGGACGCCCCTTATCCCTCATCTAATCAGAGCCTCCAGGGTCTATCATTCAATGACATCTTTACCCTCGGAGACCTTTTATGGCCATATGGGCTGTGGTTTGGCACCCATCTTGCCTCTAGGGTGAAAGTTTTTCGCTCACCACTGTGTCCCCCGAACCTAATACAGAGTCTATCACCATCCTCAATGAATGTATACTCAATACATATCCATATACTCAATGAATATGTGTGGATTTGATGAACAAAACACCAAACACACCTGCAGATTTGCTTGCATGGTGCGTCTCCAAGGTGAATGCCTCTTTCTCCAGGGAAATTTCACTTTTCCTGAAAGGCCCACTTCCTCTTGGAAACTTGCCCTGACTTCAGGGTGAGTTAATGGTCGCCTTCTCTCTGTTCCCGTGTGTGCTGCATGAAGCTTCCTTCTATTACCTGTTGTTGTAATTAATCCATCTATCTCTCCAGCACCCAGCTAGACGTGAGTCACCTATCAATGACTTATTGACAGAATGAATCGATGACAAACAATCATCTGAGAGTCAACATTTATTGAGTCTGCACCACATGCCACACACTGGGCTTACACTATCCTCACATAATATGTTTCATTTCATCTTCATGAACACCCGAGGACATAGATATTATTATCAGTATTTTCCAGCCGAAGAAGCTGTGGATTAGAAAGGTCAAAGTCATGTGCTCAAGTTCCCAGCTAAAACATGGCAGAACCACGTTTTAAATGGGGGCAAACTGACCCCAAAGCCTGTCTGTGCTCTTCACCCATCTGAAATACTAAGGACTAATTCTAAATACTTTCAGCACAGACAATCTTTAGCTCAGAAAGTCATCTCATATGTGAGGACTTCTTTCTTTTCACTGGTGTGTAAGGTGGGGAGGACAGGAGAGGGTGTAGGAGTAGGGCTTAGGTGCCCAGGCTTTATGATGACCCTCTACTGAAACATTATATAAGCCTAGTCCGCCCTAACCTGAGGCACAGCAATGACTTTGAAATATGTCATTTCATTACACATCCATTAAAGGTAAAGAGGAAGGAAAGTCACCTGAAAGAGTCAGGAAATGTAGGGAGAATTGCATGAGTCAGAACACAATTACCCATTTGGGAAATTGGTTTAAATAATAAGCAACCCAACACCTCCAGCTCGGGGGTGGTGACTGAGTGCTCACAGAGTAGGCAGGGTGATGTTTTTCATGTGTCAAAGGACTATCGGGTTCCAACGCAAAAGTCTCTGCCCCCAATTCAGAACCACCTCTCAATGAGCACATGCCTGCACACTTACCCACCCCCAGCACCCCCACATACACAGTTCTTTTGAAAGAATTGCAATCTACACAAATCCTTAACAGAGCCCTTCTCAAAATACATGCTACCATGAAAATCATGAGGACATTTGCAGATATATTTGTAAGTCACTTTAAAACTTGTATAAGACATATTTATTTCCACCATCACTCCATTTTGTAAATAAGAAAAATCAAAGCAGGATGTATTTTTTAATATTCCTTTTAAAAAGAAATAATTTGCCCCTAATGAATCTCTGGAAGTAAGCATAGATTTTGATAAGGTCTCAGGTTATTTTTTGATAGGAATGTTATCTTATTTTTTTAATATTTTATTTTTAAAATGTTCATTTATTTTTGAGAGAGAGAGAGAGAGGGAGAGAGAGAAAGTGAGCACATGAAGGGGAGGGGCAGAGAGAGTGGGAGGGAGGCACAGAATCCAGAGTAGGCTCCAGGCTCTGAGCCGTCAGCACAGAGCATGATGCAGGACTTGAACTCACTAACTGTGAGATCATGACCTGAGATGAAGTCAGACGCTTAACCAACTGAACCACCCAGGTGCCCCGATATGAATACTGTTTTAAATAAGGGCTAATAAGTGTCACTCACCATCAAAAGTGAATGCACTGGGGCACCTCTGGGTGGCTCATGATCTCATGGCTCATGGGATAGAGTCCCACGAGGAGCTCTGCACTGACAGTGTGGAGCCTGCTTGGGATTCTCTCTCTCTCTCTCTCTCTCTCTCTCTCTCTCTCTTTCTCTGCTCCTCCCTGCTCATGCTCTCTCTCTTTCTAAATAAATAAATAAATAAATAAATAAATAAATAAATAAAGTGACTGCATTGGATTCTCAATATGACCTCAAAGAGAATGAGCACTTAAGACCATGTGTGTGCAATACCTTCAGTCCACCTTTAGTCTGAATATCTTGTCTTCACCTTACGTCTCAGATCAATCAAAAGTTATTTCCTACCAAGTTCAAAACTTTTTAGGAAAACTCCCTCCTGAGCCTCTGTGGTCAGAGATTTTATTTTTCCTGCACTGTGCAAGAGAAAAGACACACCCTAAGGTCTACATGAATTACACCAGCTCTTTATACAGATTCACAAATAAAATGTAAAAACTTCTTCAAGGTGT